GGAGCCCAGGATACCATTTGCTTTTTGAGCTGCAAGGGCACACTGCTGGCTCATGTTAAGCTTTTCATCCATCAGGACCCCCAGGTCCTTCTCCACAGGGCTGCTCTCAAGGACCGCTCCTTCCAGTCTGTATGGATGCCTGAGATTCCTCCGGCCCATGTACAAAACCTTGCACTTTGCTGTGTTGAACCTCATCAGGTTCACCTGAGCCCACCTTTCAAGCCTGTTAAGGTCCCTCTGAATGGCAATACCTAAGATGGATACACCCTGTATGAAGACCTTGGGAAACTACTGTTCCCTCCTCAATGGAGAATGCCTTGGAGTTCCCCATCCTTATGTAGTGTCTTCATGGGGCTGATGGCAACAATTTCTCAACGGGTATCTCAGTAAACTCAGACAGGTTGGATTTCCTGGAACTGGAGGACGGGCTGTAGTGGAGATAGCTGGAGATCTCCTAGAAGTGTACTCACCTGTGTGTCAAGGACTATTTCTATTTCCCAGTGAATCCTGCTGTCTGGCCTGAGATATGCTTGTGAGATGAGAGATTGTGTGCTTTAGCATTTTTATTCCTAAATATCCAATCATTCTTATAGCTGCTGAGATCATTTGAATTTCTTTTCAATGTGTCTTTGAAGGCTGTGGTTCCAAGCTTGTAAATAGAACCTGTGCCCTATTGGATCAGACTAGAATCTGAGCACATGAATATGTTTTTGTTCACCCAACAGGCTCTCAAAAGTGGAGTTTATCCTGCTTTTTGGCTAGCACGTAATGCAGCACACTTCTTTCCCCTTCCATGTTATCCTACAAAAATGTTTTTGGTAAGTGAGAACTAGCAAATGAGTATATTTTTTTTGGTTCAGTGGTCATTGCAAGGTGTGGGTGATGTTTGAGAAGCCATATGAGGACCTCAAACATAAACCTTTTCATCTCTTCAAATCATAGCTTGGGCTGTACCCAAGCAGTCCCAGTGAGTTTAACCTGAGAAGTGAAGGTAAATAAACAAATTCTATCATTTTATTCATTTGGTAGCCTCTTTTTCTTTTTAAACACATAACATGTTCCTCTATAAAGTGCACGTTTTTTTGTTGGAAATATAAGCAGCTACGAAACTAAAGTATGTAAAAATATTAGCAGGAGATTGACCTTTGTGAAACTTCTAAATAAGCAGCCTGACTTTAAACCTTTTTTTCCCCCCTGAAAATATAGGTCTAAGTTTAAACGCTGGCTCCAGGCAAACTGTTTGAATTGTTCAGCTATCTAAAAATATAGTTAAAAAGCTGCATGTAAAGAGACAAGAAGGTGAAGTAGAAGCAAAGGAAGAGACAGAATGTCAGGGCCTTCGGGAAGGCATAGCACAAAGACTTCACAGATGTTCTGTTCAAAGAATCCCTCATCTCCTGCCTCTTGGTGCTGATATTTGATGGAGAGAGCATGCTGAACGCTTCCATGAAAGTTAAATAAAGAAAAATAAGCCAAAAATAAAACTTTCTGGCCAGGAGACCTGGAGGCAATGAAGGCTAGAAAGATAGAAAATATTAGAATTAGAGAAGATATTTTGCTTCAGACAACTTTGCTAGGAAGCAGATAGGAGTTTAAAAATGTGCAGTTTGAAATAGCCCCTAAGCACAGAAGACCTTGCAAGCACCTTAGATTTTTCCTTGCAAACATGAGATGGCAGACAGTAACAAGACTCATTTTCTTGGGCACTGGGCCTTTCTGATCAGGAACTGAGGAAGACAAAAGCCAAAGATTGCAGCAGTGACCTAAGGGGCAAAGCTGATGAAATGGGCTCTTGAATTTTGTTCTCTGAGGCAAAGAAGATTTTGAAAGGCAGATCACCTGATTCCTTGCTCCGTGTGTAATCTCTTTTCATTCAGTCTCAGGAAGACAGAGATAGTTTATGTGACTTTATAAATGGCTTTGGAAGATTTCTGATCTGCCTTTAATTGGGTTACCATCCAGTCTTTCCTGGCTGTTCTGCATGAAATGTTGCTTTGTGACATACATTTCCTCTTCCTTTCTGTAGAAAAGAAAAAGATGAAGATCAAGTTATTTCTGAGTAACAATGTCTAGACTCTATCACTGGACTCCTTCCAAAAATGTCTAAACAGGTCATAGCTTAAGTGAGTGTAAACTGGCACAGCTGCATTGGCTTTGTTCTAGTTATTCTGACTGAGGCAGGTGAGGATGTAGCACACATTAACCCACACCCTTCTCGCTCCCTGTGTTCTGACAAGGGTTTTTATGAGCTTTGCTCAGGCTTACTCATTTTGGAGTACACAGAGCGATGTTTAAAGTGAGAAATTATGAATGGGCTTTAAGTACATGACTTGACGTCTAGACTATTATTTGCACTTAATCTTCAGCCTTCCACATGGGTATTATGTGCTTCTTGATGCTTTCCTTCCATTCTTGCCTCTGCGTAGCACTGCATGCCGTGTCCATATCTATATCTTCAAGGGATGCACACAGGGGCGGTTTAGGATTGCAGAGATTGCTAAAGTGCACCACATTACTTGTGCTTCATGCCTTCTCTTTCTTCCTTCTTCCTCCTCTCACCATCTTCAACATCCTTTGGTTTGAAGACATCAGCAAGGACTAATGAATCATCTAATTTGGGAAGAAAGACTTCAATTGCTTTTCATAATCATGTGTTCTGTCATCACTAAGTACAGAAGAAACAAAACACTGTCAAGATTTACCTTCATGCTCCTATAAGCAATCTGATCTGTCTGTTTGTCTGCTGTTGAAATAATGATGTATACATCAGGCAGTAGAGAGATGGGGCCAATCTTTTTGCCCAGAGTTTTATGAATCTTCTCATCTTAATACACGTTCATCACCGACATTGTACAGGTCTCAGCATGCAGTGCTTCAGCACAACCTTGCTAACTCCACTTCAGTTGGAGGAAGAAATCCTCTCCTTGTTAGCTTTGGAAAGGTTTGGATTCTGTTTGAAAGCGTTTGATATTAAAACAAAACAAAGCCAAAAAAAAAAAAAAAAAAAAAAGGAGGGGAGGCAAGATAAAATTGTAGCTGACAGAGCTGAAAATAAGCATTTTTTCTCAAGACACCTAAAGGCATTTTGCTTAGAAAGACACAAAATGCAGATTTCCCAATCTTAATTTTGCTCCAGATGATATCCCTTGTTAAGCAATTGAATATATTTTAACTATGCAAACTGCTGAAAATGCAGGAAATAGAAAAAATTGCACAGGCTAGTAGTTGCCTTGCTGCATGGGAGAGATGCAGTGACCAAGATCCATCTGTGGCCTTCTTGCTTGGGGTTGAGAAGTGCGACACTGCAAGGAGGCACACGCGCACCATGCAGGACTGCACAAGTGGTCATGTTATCATTATGTCAGTGATGTGCTGCTGATGGTCAGCATAGACAAAGAGCAGAGAGGATGTGACAAGGTTATGATTTCCTGACTAGTTTCAGTTCTGTGGGATTCTCTCTCTTTTTGAATGTCTGATTTAGCAAAACAACTTCTGAGGGACAAGACACCCCAGAAAATCTTGCCTGAATATTAGTGGAGTTGGAGTTTTTGCCATTTGACTACTGATTTTAAATGGAAGTCAACATGGTTTGGAGAGTCATTGGTCATTTAGTTTTTCTTAATATGTCTGATCACAGCCTTGAGCAGGTAGGGTAGCAATGGATTCCCCTCTCTTTGCTTCCTTATAGCTCAGTAAATAGTGCAATGAAACACCAGGGTGTATTCTCTTAGATGTCGGTATATGATAATGTCTGAAATCTAAGATGTGATCTGTAGTTCAGGTGCTGATACTTTCACAACATTTAACCCCTACCATTGCCAGATCCCCCTCAAAGCACTCACCTTTAGAAGATGTTTGCTCAGAAGCTGCTTTGGCTTTTTTCTGCTGCGTCCAGGCATCTCAGTAGGCCTTCCTAGTGCTACACTGCAGCCTGTACAGGGGGCTGGAAGCTGCGCCCAGCTGCACGTTCCATCTTTGAACTTCCTACCCTTACTGCAGCTGGGCCTGCCCTGTCTTGCTCCTGCCTACTCACCTCGCCTATGTCCCAGTCCTCCCCTATCTCTGAGCTGCCTCCTCCTGTCACGCATACGCCTACTTAGGCATGCCAGGTGTTTTATAGTTAGGAGGCCAAGACCTGTGTTTCTTCAGGGCTTTCCAGCCTCACACGGGGAAGAGAAGGAAAGGATTGCACAGGACTCCCCAGCAAGTGCCCAGACCTTCACCAGACGGCAGAAGTCCTCTGCACCCTGGATTCCAGGGCAGTGGAACCCATGATGCTCTGGAAGGACATCATGAGAAGCTCAGGAAGGGAAGGCTGCTTTGATCCCAGTGTGCAAACGTACACATGGATCTGATCCTTCCCACTTGCCCTGGACCAAATTTTTTCTTCCTTGCAACTTTCCCAGGCCCTGATCACCCAAAGGTCCCTGAACTGAATCAACAAGGCCTTTCCTCTTTTCCTGAGTGATTGTCCCACTCTACTCTGCACTGGTGCAGCCTCACTTCAACTACTATGTGCATTTTTGGGAACCGCAGTTATTATTAGGGAATGTCCAAAAGAGGACTGCAAAGATGGTGAAGGGTGTAGAGAACAAAAAGTATAAAGAGCAGCTAAAGTCCCTCAGATTGTTCAGCCAAGAGCAGAGGAGCTGAGGGGAGGCCTGATGGCGGCTGCAGCTCCTCACAGGGAGCGGAGGGCAGCGCTGAGCTCTGCTCTGTGTGACAGCGACAGGGCCTGACGGCATGGAGCTGCGTCAGGGGACGGGCAGGTGGGGGTCAGGGACAGGGTCTGCACCTGAAGGTGGTGGGCACAGCCCTGAGCTGCTGGAGTTCAAGGAGTGTTTGGGCAACACTGTCAAACATTGGGTTTGGATTTTGGCTGGTACTGTGTGGAACCTGGAGCTGGACTCCATGGTCCTTGTGGGTCCATTCCAACTTCAGATATTCTGTGATTCTGTGATTCCTTCACTACAGCCCCAAGTCCAACCAGTACACCTTCGTTGCAAGAATTTGCATGTTTGCTTAACTTCTGATGATCTCAAGCACCTCTGAGTGTCCTGCTGTACCAAAGCGCCCCAAATATCCATTATTGCTGACAAACGACAGCAAGGAGCCTTTTCTTTTCCTCTTTCCCCTCACTGGATTTGTGCCCAGGGTGAAGTTGAGCGGCTGCTGTCAGTTCCTTTGAGCCCATCAGCCTGCAAATGGACAGCAAAAAAAAAAAAAAAAAAAAAAGGAACTCTTTGAACTGCTCTGCTTGCCCCTGCAGGCTATAATTTTCCATGACAGTATAGCTTGCTTCTATCTACAGAGCACCCCCTTGTCTTCTAGTATTAAAGGACCAGAAGGTGTTTTGCTCTAAATGGGATAAAAATCAGGAGTTTGAGGGTATCTGTGGCATAGTTTGAGCTGTGACTCTTGTCAGTGTTTTTACAGAGTAATTTTATTACTTGGAAGTTGTTCATTAGGAGATTACACTTATTTTCTCTTTGGTCTCTCGTGTTTGTTTTTTCTTTTACTTTTTTTTTTTTTTTTAATGTTGTTAAATATTTTCTACAAGTTCTCTCATCAATTTCATGGAAAAATTGATTACAAGCATACAGTAGTCAACACTTGAGCACTTCCTATTGAATATATCGAGTTGCATTAGACTTAAATTTCACCCAGTCATGCCTTAACTCACTTAATTTGAGGCTTTATGGGGGCTATTCGTGTGTCCTCAAAATTTAAGTGAAACTTAAAATCAATTGATGGTTGAAAATGTAGACATTAAATCATGTGGGAGCCAAATGAAGTACTCCCATTAATTCCCAGAGGCACTGATAGGAAGCCAGATATGCTCAAATCTATGTCAAAAGCACCTGGGCAGCAGTGTGGTTTGAGGGAGAGGAAGGCTGTTAGCCTAGTGGTCAGTAGAGCTCCATAGCTCCTGCTTCTTAAAGAGTGTCCTAACTACCTTCCTTTATTCACAGAGACTACTGTTTTTCAGGTGTTTGCTTTGGCAAGATGTTGGCTCTTGGTTTTGTAGTACTCTGCACTATGTGCAGAAAACTTTGTGGATGTTCCTGACAAACAAATCCATGTGCAAGAATATTCTCAGCAATTAAAAACATTTTCTGGTGAGGAGTCAGGGTGAAAAAACGTGGTGATAAATGCCAGCATTTATGCTGAAATAGTTTTGAATAATCTCGTGTATGGTCTATACATAGGTTAAGAATGAGTTTCAAAGTGTTTAATAACTATTTAACAATATTTGCAATTGAAGGTCTACTGCTGGATTTGCTTTGGAAAGCAGAGCCCTTTTTCATGAGTTTTTAGTATTTGTCTATTAAAGATTATTTTTGTAAGCAGGAATGAGCATGAATACTTTAAGTGGTCACCACACAATTAAATCCTGAGGAAGATACCTGATTTGTATGCACAGTAGCTATTTATGTGATTACACTGAGTTATGTGAGTGTGTTTAACATCGAAAATCTATCTTTAGAGAAGGACCATTACCACTGGTTAGTTAGTATTGTGAAGAATGGGTATGAAAAAGGTTTCACAACTGCATTTTTCTCTTCCCAGGACTGGAGCGAGATCACTGTGTACTTAAAAGCACAGCAACCATAAATACACTATCCACTCTATTTCTCACCCTACTCTTGCAAGTCCCTCCCTGGTTACCATCCATTTCTTTGTACTCTTTCTGAGGTTGCAGCATAATGGAATGTGGCTTTGTAGTCAGTACTCCAGGTCATGATGACATTTTGTATACGCTCTAGATATATCTGCTCATCACCATACAGCAAGACTGGCTTGTTACTGCGCTGACATATTGTTTATGTAGTTGCCAGAGAGGCTGTGGATGCCCCATTCCTGGAGGCATTCAAGGACACTGGATGTGGCTCTGAGCAGCCTGGTCTGGGTTGACAACCCTGCATATAGCAGGGAGGATGAAACTGGGTGATCATTTAATCCAGTTTCAACCCAGGCCATTCCATGATTCTATGATTCCACGATCCTTTAGCTGGTGTTCTTTAGTGAGCTGACCTACACCACAACAGGCAAAGGCTGGAAACGACCCCATATCCCCTTGCTTCTGTTTCCACTCCTCCTAGAGTGCAAATTCCTTTTGCTCTGGCACAGGATAAACACACCTGTGTTCTCTCCTTGCCTTAGCATTTCATTTTGCCCCAGTGAATAACAGCAAAACAAGAGAGAGAGCTTTGTGGTTTAGGAAGCTGACATTAAAAGTAAAGTTTACAAAAAGGCAAGATGGAGGAAGGGGAATTCTGACTAATCCCTGATATGCATGGAATGTTGTCTTATACAGGAAAAGAACAGAGCTCAGTGTTTCTTTAATTACAATTTAGGAGTTTTGTTATTTGAAAATAATTGTTTGTAGTTTACTTTTCTTAGCTGGGGCAGTTTGGTTTGACAGGCCTGGAACAAACAGAGTTACATAAATTTGCAGAGGTTTCCTGGTACGCTGGCCAGCTACAGACTTTGTACTGATTTTTATTGTAACTGAAATTCTCACCTGACATCTGTACTAGCACGTCATGTAGTCTGCAGTAATGCAAACATAATGCATTCCTATCAAATGTTCTCTGGTGCATCACTTTGGAAGGAGAACCTGCAGCCATCCTGAGCCCGTGGACACAGCAAAAAGAAAAATAACACCTCTGATTTAGTGAAATATCACAAATGCCAGGTCAGCTCCAGGTCCACTGAATGTGGTTCAGTTTACATGGAATTTATATTAGATTACTTTTGGATTTAATTCTACAGTCTTTTCATTTTCATATGAAAACCATGTTGGCAGAAGGGAGCAAGTTAAATTGCCATCTCCATTCATCTTTCACAGAATCACAGAATCGGAGGTGTTGGAAAGAACCTCTGGACATTGTCAAGTCCAGCCCCTTGCTAAAGCAGGTTCCCAGCTTTCATAGCATCATAGAATCATTATGATTGGAAAGACCACTAAGATTATCCAGTCCAACCATCAACCTGTCAACACCATGCCCGCTGAACCATATTCCTCAGTGCCACATCCACCCTTTCCTTAAACACTGCCAGGGTCAATGACTCCACCACCTCCCTGGGCAGCCTATGCCAATACCTCACCACTCTTTCTGAGAATAAATTTTAGCTAATATCCAACCTGAACCTCCCCTGGCACAGCTTAAAGCCATTGCCTCCTGTCCTATCATGTCTTCATGTCTTTACTAATTGTTTTTTTGTTTGTTTGTTTGTTTTTTTAAATATTAATCATCACTTGTATTTAAATATAAGTAAAACTTCTGTCCTATTCATTGTTTTTTGATCACTGTTAGGTTTGTATCTGAAGAACTCTGCAGGACTAAAAAGCAATACTCCACTGGAAGCAAGTTTAGGATTTGAAATGCTGTAAATTTGAATAGCTGTGAAATTACAAGGACTGCTTTGGTGCTACTGATGTGTTTCACAATGCCATATTTGAACAGCTAAATACTCACAAAACATACAGTTCTTCTGAGTCCTTGTTTCATCGCTTATAAGTGAAACCTAAGCTCTTGGCCCACATTCTCAGTATTTGGGCATGTTGGATCCTATGGTCCCTGTGATCAGGTAACTCAGTTGCAGCTGCTTTAGAGACTGGAGCTCAAGGGTTTCCTGTTGCTTTTGAGAATGTAGACTTGCACTTTTAAGGATTTTATGCATTATTTATGGAAACAAAGAATCCTTTAAAAAGAGAAGTGTCTCATTCCTTAGCACATGGCCAACCTTGCTATTGCTCCCCAGGGTGAGGGCTGCTCCCACTCTGCTGCTCATTCCCAGCTGACCTGCAGCAACCCCAACCCCACATCAGACCCTGGCACTTGAGTAGTCCTGTGGTAGGAGATACCTGCCCCAGGTAACAGCTGATGTTTGTGTTCCTCATTCTTGCCTGTTTAAAGAGCAAGCAAGTCATCATAAGGTTTAAAACAATTCCAGCAATTTGCAAGCAAGTTGTAGGAACTCTGATTTCAAATCCAATTTTCTTTCTTTTTCTTTTTTTTTTCTTTTTTTTTCCCCAGAACATATGGCTGTTAAGCACTGAGGAACTAATACACATATTATGAATAACCATCAGAATTTTTTTTTCAGGTTTTGAGGGGCAGTTTGTAACTTCACAGTCTCTGGGTTCATTCCCTGTCCTTCCTGTGTGAATCAGAAACAAGGGGCTCTGAAAGTTAGAGCTGTGTCTTTACATTTGGACTTTTAGTGCTTTCTATTTTATTGCTTGCAATAAGCTTATAAGCAATACAGGACTCTTTCTAAGCATGCTAATGACCTTTAATGAGGGACAAATAAGCAATAGTAGCTTGCCTGATGCCAAAACAAGTGCTGAATGACTGGCCTGAACTGCACCTTCTAGTGCTCATGAGATACTCAGGAATGGGACCCACAATGTAAATAACCTAATGAACAGCACAGCACAGCTTATGTCCATATCTTATTTTGAGCTGTAAGTTGGTCAAAATTCTCATGTAAAGCATAAGTAATGATTGCTAATAGAACAACCGAGTGATCTGGACTCCTGCTATGTATAGAGCATCTCACATTCTTTCTTAAGTTTTCTTGGGATGTCCTATGATGTAGCTATTTTTTCTTCTAAAAATAACATTCAGTGTGTATTTCAGACATTCCAAAGCCTCATAGTGTTTGTATGAAAAACAAGAACTGCTTTGTAAGCTGTAGAAATAATGGAATCTGATTTTCCCCTCACCCTTATTTATTTGGATTATAGAACTGGATTTCGTAACTAAGAAGTGTGATGGAGCAAATAAACCCAAGTAATTGAGAATAATCAGCATAGATTTACAAAAGTGAGATCATGTTCAACTGGTCTAATAGCTTTCTACAATAAGAAGACCAACTCAGTGGACTAGGGAAAGCAGTGGGTGCTGTTTTGCAAGGCTCCTGACATTTTCCCCCTTGACATCCTCACAGACAGACTGATGAGTTACAGATCAGACACGTGGATAATGGGGTAGACAGAAAACTATCATGTTGGACTCAAAGGATTGTGATGAACAGCATCTTTTCTAGATGGAAGTCAGTCCCTATCGATGTATACACCAAGGGGTAAGTTCTGGAGCCAATACTGTTTAATCTGTTCATTACTGACCTGGACAGTGAGGCCAGGTGCACCTTCATCTAATTTGCACATAGAATCATAGAATTTTTA